AAAATACAGAAATATTTGATAAAGTGGCAAAGCCTTACAGAAAAATACTGTTAAGAAGTTTTAAACCCATTGAATGTATGGGATGCATATTACTCTTCCCATTTTGAGTATATACTCAAAAACTCTAAAAAACTTGAAATTAGTAGAAACGTGAACGTGATGATTACAGGCCAATACAGTGGAAGAATGCATTTTCAGCATATTGAAAACCTGTTGAAATACTACAGAGGGATGATAGAAAAAGTGACAGTAATAATTATAATAAAGTTACTAAGATAAAACAACGAAAAATAATATTTTGGGAGTGGAAGATACAAAAAATGACAAGAAAATAATCATTATAAAGTTTATACCAAATAAGTCTTCAAGTACCCCGTTTGTTGAGTTTTCCGTTCCTTGAAATATGTGAATTCTTTTAGACAGCACAGATGTAACACGCTTACTTCTTTTTTAGGCCGATTTTCAGAAGCCCAAACACAGAAGCTGGGCATGTTGAAGACAATGACCTGCAAAAATCAGTTGTTGACTCTACGTCTTCTGAAAGTACAAAAATCATTTTAACATTGCAATTCATTTTATTACTGTTACCAAATTTTTCAACTGGAAAAAACACGATTTATGACAGTAAATGTAAATAAAAATTTCTCGCAGATTTTAATTTAAGTAAGTAAGCAGGACACTTTGAAGGCTAAATTAGCAGCTGGTTTGTTGGATACGACTTATCAAACGAAAATCCTACTTATCACTACATTCGCTGGAGAAGCAGACAGTTTGCTACTGTAAGGTCTGACAACTTGTGATTTAAAAGGAAAGCAATGAATTTGAAAGCATCACCAAGACATCTTCTGATGACAATTCTATGAGGTAGAAACTAAGAGTTCTAGCAATGTTTAGGAAAAGCAATAAAAAGAGATGCTGGAAGAAAAAAACTAATCAGGAATTAATCAGTTGTTTTACCTGGATCAAATTTTGTAGATCAAATAAAAGCAAAAAAAAAAAAGTTTTATCTGAGTTTCTTGCATAATAATATATCAGAAAAGAAGAGAGTTTTAAAGTTTTTATAAACTTTATACAATTGTTGTAAAAGATAAGCTTAAAGAAATTTTTCATTGAAAGTGAGTGTAATGAAAACTTTAGTTTAAAAAATTTGAGAAATTTTACTATTGTTTTTTGTTAATTAAAGGTTGTGCTATTGTTTATTAAAAAGTTATCAAAGATTTTTTTTCTGAATGTTTTAAACTGGGAATTGAAAATTTAAGATAGCGTTTGGGGCACTAGTCGAAAGAGTGTTACAGGAAAATCTGGGAACGAAAGGTTTTCATAGTGAGCAGGAGAATCGAGGCAAACGTTTGGCCGACCCAGTGCAAATGTTATGACATCGATTTAATCAGCTTTCAAAAAATATGTATCATATACTTTTTGGATTCTTGAGTACCTATTAGTTGTTTTCTATACCAAATAATGTTGAACTAGCACAGCTTTACAGCTTCAGTTTTTGAGTTAGCTAGGTCAGAAATAAGTACAAGAAAAGCAACGACGACTTGATAAGGGACAGTAATGATATTTTTGCTTGTGAGCAAATAACGGTTTAAAAATGATCAAGAAACACTGGTGCATATAAATTAATAAGGATTGAAAGCAGAATGCTAGAAAATCGTTTTAAATTGAAAACTGAATAAGAAGTCTCCCTTCCTGA